TATATTTAAACACGTTTTTCTATAATTTACAAACTTGCTCCCATAACTAAAACATTTATTTTCTGCAATTCATTATTTTATTGTTTTGAAAATTATTTCAAAATTATGTATTTTCTCGTTCCAAGTTGAGCCTTTTTGGAAAAGTAGTGAAACTATGTATAGAAGAGTGCAATTGTTGAACAAACGAGCAAATGAGAAAAGAATAATTAAAATTATAAAAGAGTACAAACACAGTTACCTTATGTAATTTTAAACATTTGAAACAAATTATGTTTTTAACCCATTAGGGAAGATTCAGTAGAACTAGAACAGAAATAGTACAGAACTAGAACAGAACTAGAATAGAACTAGAACAGAACTAGAACTAGAACAGAACTAGAACAGAACTAGAAACTAGAACAGAATAGAACAGAACTAGAACTAGAACAGAACTAGAACAGAACAGACAGAACAGAAACAGAACAGAACTAGAACAGAACAGAACAGAACAGAACTAGAACAGAACTAGAACAGAACTAGAACAGAACTAGAACAGAACTAGAACAGAACTAGAACAGAACAGAACTAGAACAGAACTAAAACAGAACAGAACAGAAACTAGAACAGAACAGAACAGAACAGAACAGAACAGAACAGAACTAGAACAGAACTAGAACAGAACTAGAACAGAACTAGAACAGAACTAGAACAGAACTAGAACAAAAACTAGAACAGAACTAGAACAGAACTAGAACAGAACTAGAACAGAACTAGAACAGAACTAGAACAGAACTAGAACAGAACTAGAACAGAACTAGAACAGAACTAGAACAGAACTAGAACAGAACTAGAACAGAACTAAACAGAACTAGAACAGAACTAGAACAGAACTAGAACAGAACTAGAACAGAACTAGAACAGAACTAGAACAGAACTAGAACAGAACTAGAACTAGAACAGAACTAGAACAGAACTAGAACAGAACTAGAACAGAACTAGAACAGAACTGGAACAGAACCGAACAGAACTAGAACAGAACTAGAACAGAACTAGACAGAAACTAGGACAGAACTAGAACAGAACTAGAACAGAACTAGAACAGAACTAGAACAGAAACTAGAACAGAACTAGAACAGAACTAGAACAGAACTAGAACAGAACTAGAACAGAACTAGAACAAACTAGAACAGAACTAGAACAGAACAGAACAGAACTATGAACAGAACTAGAAACAGAACTAGACACAGAACTAGAACAGAACTAGAACCAGAACTAGAACAGAACTAGAAACAGAATAGAACATAACTAGAACAGAACTAGGAACAGAACTAGAACAGAAACTAGAACAAGAACTAGAACAGAACTAGAACAGAACTAGAACAGAACTAGAACAGAACTAGAACCAGAAACTAGAACAGAACTAGAACAGAACTAGAACAGAACTAGAAGCAGAACTAGAAGCAGAACTAGAACAGAACTAGAACAGAACTAGAACAGAACGAGAACAGAACTAGAACAGAACTAGGAACAGAACTAGAACAGAACTAGAACAGAACTAGAACAGAACTATAACAGAACTAGACAGAACTAGAACCGAATAGAACAGAACTAGAACAGGACTAGAACAAACAGAACTAGAACAGAACTAGAACAGAACTAGAACAGTAACTAGAAAGAACTAGAACAGAACTAGAACAGAACTAGAACAGAACTAGAACAGAACTAGAACAGAACTAGAAACAGAACTAGAACTGAACTAGAACAGAACTAGAACAGAACTAGAATACAAACTAAAACAGAAACTACCTACCGAAGCTGCCCTGATATACAATTTAAACTGATTTATGATTTCGAATTTTAAATGAATACTTTAAAATTATTTTTGTACTTCAATAACCCTCCCTAACACCTAAAGGATTAACATTTGTCTTCATATATGTACATTGCACATACATGTTTACAAGTATGCAACCCATTGTTCTACCCTACATAAGTACTCCATAATACAACGTGGGATGCCTCTAACAGTTTATGCTAAAAATAAAACACAATTCTTTATACAAATATTTAATGAAGAACAGCAAAAAAACAAAATCCGAATAAATACTTTAGGTGTTAGCCGACAATTTTAAGTCTAAAGAAGATGTTTTGTGTACTGTTAAAATAACGAATATAGCTCTAAGTAAAATACGTACTTAAAAAGCTATTTGGCTAACAATGCACAAGGATTTTGTTTTGTTCAAAAGTCAAAAGAAGAATACATATAAATAATAAAAATTAAAAAAAAAATAAGGGCAAAATTTTAAATACGAATATAAAAGTGGTAGAAAATCCAAACATAATTGTGGAAGCATGCAAGTAAATTGTAAAACATTTTAAGACTTAGCATGGAATTTATCCCGCTTTAGGAAAGTAATTAAATGTGTTTTAGAAAATGTATTACTTTTAGAAGTAGACATTTTGTTCAAGATATTTTCAGCAAACCCCACTCGAAAGTTTCAATAAAGTCGGAAGTAAGCAATGTTGTTGTACTGTCTACTTCGAAGAATTTCCTCTAATCATATGTAGAGATGTAGATCTAAAATTTGGCGAACCTTGCTATACTACTTATGACTCCATTTTGCAGGATCCTTGTTCCTAGAAGTTTATTTATAATATTTCTTCCTTGTATAAGAAATTAATACGAAGTTTACATTAATGTCATCCTTACAATTATACTTTAATTTATTTTATTTCCTCTTATCACGGCTTTTAAATGCTGCTCCTCCATATTCCGTTATCCATTCACTTTCGTCTAATTCTTGCTTGATTTGTTGCAAACTATTTGTATTGCATGCAGCACGCTTTAATTGCCGCTTAAATGGTTGGTGTTTCTTGTTTTTCTGTTCTGATAATTATTCCCATTTGTGTCTAGGAGCCGCAGTAGCCAGTGAGTCTAGGAAATATAAGTGACAATAAAAATATTGTTGCAATATAATTTGTAAATTGCATGTTCGCTAATGTTATGTTTGTAGCGTTGTCTGCGTTTGGAAGTTAACAAGGTCATAGATAACTATTGAAATAAGTTTGAAGTGAACAATGTGCGGTGGGACTAAGCACATATATATCTTGTTCATGAGTATCGGAACAGATGAAAAAGTTTTAGTCACATTTTAATTGTGGGTTAGTCAGTCTTGAAATCTATCACACCGAAGGTAGTGGGTTCAATTCCCATCAAAGAGTGAACGGCAGGCCACCCTGGTAGCTTAGATGTATTTCTGTGCCTAACTAACTACTAACTAACTAACTAACTAACTAACTACTAACTAACTAACTAACTAACTAACTAACTAACTAACTAACTAACTAACTAACTAACTAACTAACTAACTAACTAACTAACTAACTAACTAACTAACTAACTACTAACTAACTAACTACTACTAACTACTAACTAACTAACTAACTAACTAACTAACTAACTAACTAACTAACTACTACTAACTAACTACTAACTAACTAACTAACTAACTAACTAACTAACTAACTACTAACTAACTAACTAACTAACTAACTAACTAACTAACTAACTAACTAACTAACTAACTAACTAACTACTAACTACTACTAACTAACTAACTAACTAACTAACTAACTAACTAACTAACTAACTACTAACTACTAACTAACTAACTAACTAACTAACTAACTACTAACTAACTAACTAACTAACTAACTAACTAACTAACTACTAACTAACTAACTACTAACTAACTAACTAACTAACTACTACTAACTAACTAACTAACTAACTAACTAACTAACTAACTAACTACTAACTAACTAACTAACTAACTACTACTAACTAACTAACTAACTAACTAACTAACTAACTAACTAACTAACTAACTAACTAACTAACTAACTAACTAACTAACTACTAACTAACTAACTAACTAACTAACTAACTAACTAACTAACTAACTAACTAACTAACTAACTAACTACTACTAACTAACTAACTAACTAACTAACTAACTAACTAACTAACTAACTAACTAACTAACTAACTAACTAACTAACTAACTAACTAACTAACTAACTAACTAACTAACTACTAACTAACTACTAACTAACTAACTAACTAACTAACTAACTAACTAACTAACTAACTAACTAACTAACTAACTAACTAACTAACTAACTAACTACTAACTAACTAACTAACTAACTAACTAACTAACTAACTAACTAACTAACTAACTAACTAACTAACTACTAACTAACTAACTAACTAACTAACTAACTAACTAACTAACTAACTAACTAACTAACTAACTAACTAACTAACTAACTAACTAACTAACTAACTAACTAACTAACTAACTAACTAACTAACTAACTACTAACTACTAACTACTACTAACTAACTAACTACTAACTAACTACTAACTAACAACTACTAACTAACTAACTACTACTAACTAACTACTAACTAACTAACTAACTAACTAACTAACTAACTAACTAACTAACTACTAACTAACTAACTAACTAACTACTAACTAACTACTAACTAACTCTAACTACCTAACTAACTACTAACTAACTAACGAACTAACTAACTAACTAACTAACTAACTAACTACTAACTACTACTAACTAACTAACTAACTACTAACTAACTAACTAACTACTAACTAACTAACTAACTAACTAACTAACTACTACTAACTAACTACTAACTAACTAACTAACTAACTAACTAACTAACTAACTAACTAACTAACTACTAACTACTAACGAACTACTAACTAACTAACTAACTAACTAACTAACTAACTAACTAACTAACTAACTAACTAACTAACTAACTAACTAACTAACTAACTAACTAACTTACTAACTAACTAACTAACTAACTAACTAACTACTAACTAACTAACTAACTCCACACATTTTTGATATCTAAATAATAAGAATTTTATTGAACACGTTTTAGCGACATATGTATTATACATTAATAAAAATTTTTTTTTTTATTGACCACAAAACTAAACACCAAGTTAAAAATATTTTTAAGATGAATTTCAAACTTAGCGACGACATCTTTGCTCACAGATAGCCCGGGTACACCAACGATTGTTGTTGCCCCAACAACCCCAATAAGGCATTATTTGACATTGCCTTGTTCTGGCATTGTACCACCACATCATGCGAGCTTGACAACGCCAACCACGACGACCTTCATTTCGAGGACCGATACAGGAAGGATTACCTAGGAAATGGTGTTGAATTTATAATTTATTATTTAAGTAGAATATAATTTAGTTATAATAAAAACTAACGTGGACTGCCCGGACATCCTTGGGCTGATGAATAAGCCACTAGAGCCACTAATAGTAAAGATAAAATATGTAAAACTTGCATTTTCGTATGAATTATTAAAACGTTTATGACTTAAATCTATAATTTTTAGGAGTTTTTATATAATTTGGGAGGAAATATTTTTTTAATTTAACGTTTTTTGTTAAAAATATAAAAGAATATTTTATTTGTTATAAATCAGTCCCGTTTATATATGTACATATGAATGTACTTTCTTTAACTATCATACTCGCTTTTTTAAAGATATTGAACAAAATCTTTAACAAATATTTGAACAAGTGTTTCATCGTTTGTAGTATTTAATTGTAATTATTTCAAGCACATGTTTCGGTAAATAATACATATATTTGTTGTTTTTTTAACAAAATAATATATTTTGTGGAGGTAAAACTCAACATATATATTAACTAAGGTTAAATCGATTATTATTTGTAAAATACTTACCAACGATAATTTTATGAATATTTAGTTTCTTATTTAATCGATTCTACAACAGGTTCCACTTGAACCGGTTTACCTACAACTCGTTTTACTAGAATTGGTTGTTTTTATACCCTACACCACTATAGTGGGTAGGGTATTATACATTTGTGCTTGATCCTACACCCACCTTAAAGTATACTTATCGGCTCAAAATCACTTTCTGAGTCGATCTGTACGTCCGTCTGTCTGTCCGTCTGTGTGTCCATGTAAACCTTGTGGCGCCCTATATAGGTCGAAATTTTCAAGATAATTTGATGAGATTTGTCACATACTCTTCTTATGAAGCCTATTGAAAATAAACATCATGATGATATTCTGCATGAATAACTATTGTAGACGTAAATCCCTCTACCAAAATTTATAAGGATACGACCATATTAACCCTCTGCCCCCATATAACCCCTCAATTTAGAACATCCCTTTTTTTGTTAACAAATTGTTGAAATATATATAAATTAAGGTAAAAATTAAAGTAAATGCTTTATTATTAATAAAATGATCAACATTTTTAATTTAAGCACTGATGTAGGGTATCATATGATCGACCATGTCCGACTATAAATTATTACTTGTTGTACATAAATAATAGGCGTCCAATTTATCAATTGTTATGTTATAATTAGTTATTTAGTTAATTAGTTATTTGTTAGTTTTAGTTATTTTGTTAGTTAGTTAGTTAGTTTGTTAGTTCGTTAGTTATTAGTTAGTTAGTTTGTTCGTTAGTTAGTTAGTTAGTTAGTTCGTTCGTTTAGTTCGTTAGTTCGTTTTCGTTAGTTTCGTTAGTTAGTTAGTTAGTTAGTTCGTTAGTTAGTTTCGTTAGTTAGTTAGTTCGTTCGTTGTTCGTTAGTGTTTAGTGTTCGTTAGTTAGTTCGTTCGTAGTTCGTTTTTCGTTCGTTCGTTGTTGTTCGTTCGTTAGTTTAGTTTTAGTTAGTTAGTTCGTTAGTTTCGTTCGTTAGTTCGTTCGTTTAGTTAGTTGTTAGTTAGTTCGTTCGTTTCGTTCGTTTAGTTCGTTCGTTCGTTCGTTCGTTCGTTTTAGTTTTCGTTCGTTCGTTCGTTCTTCGTTCGTTCGTTGTTCGTTCGTTTGTTCGTTCGTTCGTTCGTTCGTTCTTCGTTCGTTCGTTCGTTCGTTTTCGTTAGTTAGTTCGTTGTTGTTTTTGTTTCGTTAGTTCGTTCGTTAGTTCGTTTCGTTAGTTCGTTCGTTCGTTAGTTCGTTCGTTAGTCGTTCGTTCGTTATTCGTTCGTTAGTTCGTTCGTTTTTGTTCGTTCGTTTGTTCGTTTCGTTCGTTCGTTCTTCGTTCGTTCGTTCGTTCGTTCGTTCGTTCGTTCGTTAGTTCGTCGTTCGTTCGTTCTTCTTGTTCGTTCGTTCGTTCGTTAGTTCGTTCGTTGTTCGTTGTTCGTTAGTTCGTTCGTTCGTTGTTCGTTCGTTCGTTTCGTTCGTTCTTCGTTTCGTTATTCGTTCGTTCGTTCGTTCGTTCGTTTCGTTCGTTCGTTCGTTCGTTCTTCGTTCGTTCGTGCGTTCGTCGTTCGTTCGTTCGTTCGTTCGTTCGTTCGTTTCGTTCGTCGTTCGTCGTTCGTCGTTCGTTCGTTCGTTCGTTCGTTCGTTCTTTCGTTCGTTCGTTCGTTCGTTCGTTCGTTCGTTCGTCGTTCGTTCGTTCGTCGTTTCGTTCGTTCGTTCGTTCGTTCTTTCGTTTCGTTCGTTCGTTCGTTCGTTCGTTCGTTCTTGTTCGTTCGGTCGTTCGTTCGTTCTTCGTTCGTTGTTCGTTCGTTCGTTCGTTCGTTCGTTCTTCGTTTCGTTCTTCGTTCGTTTCGTTCGTTCGTTCGTTCGTTCGTTCGTTCGTTCGTTCGTTCTTTCGTTCGTTCGTTCGTTCGTTCGTTAGTTCGTTCGTTCGTTCGTTCGTTTCGTTCGTTCGTTCTTCGTTCGTTCGTTCGTTCGTTCGTTCGTTCGTTCGTTCGTTCGTTCGTTCGTTCGTTCGTTTCGTTCGTTCGTTCGTTCGTTCGTTCGTTCGTTCGTTCGTTCGTTCGTTCGTTTCGTTCGTTCGTTTCGTTCGTTCGTTCGTTCGTTCTTCGTTCGTTCGTTCGTTTCGTTCGTTCGTTCGTTCGTTCGTTCGTTCGTTCGTTTCGTTCGTTCGTTCGTTCGTTCGTTCGTTCGTTCGTTCGTTTCGTTCGTTCGTTCTTCGTTCGTTCGTTCGTTCGTTCGTTCGTTCGTTCGTTCGTTCGTTCGTTCGTTCGTTTCGTTTCGTTCGTTCGTTCGTTCGTTCTTTCGTTCGTTCTCGTTCGTTCGTTCGTTCTTCTTCGTTCGTTCGTTCTTCGTTCTTCGTTCGTTCGTTCGTTCTTCTCGTTCGTTCGTTCGTTCTTAGTTCGTTCGTTCGTTCGTTCGTTCGTTCGTTCGTTCGTTCGTTCGTTCGTTTCGTTCGTTCGTTCGTTCGTTCCCCTCTTTCTTTCCGCCCCTCTTTGCCCCTTGTCCTCCTGCGTATAAACATTATAAGCTTAAATTTGAGTTTTTTTTTTTTTTTTTTTTTTTTGAAAAAAACTTTTTTGTTGACTTAGGATATTTATGTACCAGTGTTTGGAAGTGTATGCACAATTCTTTGAAACATTTTCATACATATGTATGTCTGTGTGTGTAGACAACAACTTTATAGCTACATTAAATATTTAACTTGTAGAAAAACACAAAACTTTTCCTCAAATCCTTTAAATCGGTAGCAATGAAAATTAGGGGTAAAAATCGAACAAATAATTAACTTTCCTTTTTATTTTGTTTACCACATAAATTATTAATAAAGGTAAATCTTTTTTCCATTAACATTTTTTGTGTATTTATATTATTTCCTTATTTCAGTTTATATACTTAATTCTTCCATTGTACGATTTTGATTGTACATTTTAAATTCAAAGGAATTTCATTTTTCTTGTACATATGAACAAACGAAAAATATCTCATTAAAACTGCATTTGAATAACCCAGCAACATATTTAAAATTATGTTTTTTTTTTGGGTTTTTTTTTCCGATTGTTGAGGTTTACTACTTTCATCCTTGTTTTTATTATAAATACTTATTTAATTTTCATTAAATTCCCTTTATCCTTAATCAACAAAAATTTAAGATTCAAATTATTTAACCTAAAATACTTGCCATTGTTTCCGGCAACCACTTGTTGGTGAACCCTTAAAAGTGCGATGGGCTCAGATCTGTGCCAGGCATGGCAAATTTAAATTATAAAATTGTTATTAACATTTACGAAAGGAGTACTATCTAGTCAGTAATCTAGTCTAGTCTATAGTCTAGTCTATAGTCTAGTCTATAGTCTAGTCTAGTCTATAGTCTAGTCTAGTCTAGTCTAGTCTAGTCTATAGTCTAGTCTAGTCTATAGTCTAGTCTATAGTCTAGTCTATAGTCTAGTCTATAGTCTAGTCTATAGTCTAGTCTATAGTCTAGTCTATAGTCTAGTCTATAGTCTAGTCTATAGTCTAGTCTATAGTCTAGTCTATAGTCTATTATAGTCTAGTCTATAGTCTAGTCTATAGTCTAGTCTATAGTCTAGTCTATAGTCTAGTCTATAGTCTAGTCTATAGTCTAGTCTATAGTCTAGTCTATAGTCTAGTCTAGTCTAGTCTATAGTCTAGTCTAGTCTAGTCTATAGTCTAGTCTATAGTCTAGTCTATAGTCTAGTCTATAGTCTAGTCTATAGTCTAGTCTATAGTCCAGTCTATAGTCTAGTCTATAGTCTAGTCTATAGTCTAGTCTATAGTCTAGTCTATAGTCTAGTCTATAGTCTAGTCTATAGTCTAGTCTATAGTCTAGTCTATAGTCTAGTCTATAGTCTAGTCTATAGTCTAGTCTATAGTCTAGTCTATAGTCTAGTCTATAGTCTAGTCTATAGTCTAGTCTATAGTCTAGTCTATAGTCTAGTCTATAGTCTAGTCTATAGTCTAGTCTATAGTCTAGTCTATAGTCTAGTCTATAGTCTAGTCTATAGTCTAGTCTATAGCTTAGTCTATAGTCTAGTCTATAGTCTAGTCTATAGTCTAGTCTATAGTCTAGTCTATAGTCTAGTCTATAGTCTAGTCTATAGTCTAGTCTATAGTCTAGTCTATAGTCTAGTCTATAGTCTAGTCTATAGTCTAGTCTATAGTCTAGTCTATAGTCTAGTCTATGTCTAGTCTATAGTCTAGTCTATAGTCTAGTCTATAGTCTAGTCTATAGTCTAGTCTATAGTCTAGTCTATAGTCTAGTCTATAGTCTAGTCTATAGTCTAGTCTATAGCTTAGTCTATAGTCTAGTCTATAGTCTAGTCTATAGCTAGTCTATAGTCTAGTCTATAGTCTAGTCTATAGTCTAGTCTATAGTCTAGTCTATAGTCTAGTCTATAGTCTAGTCTATAGTCTAGTCTATAGTCTAGTCTATAGTCTAGTCTATAGTCTAGTCTATAGTCTAGTCTATAGTCTAGTCTATAGTCTAGTCTATGTCTAGTCTATAGTCTAGTCTATAGTCTAGTCTATAGTCTAGTCTATAGTCTAGTCTATAGTCTAGTCTATAGTCTAGTCTATAGTCTAGTCTATAGTCTAGTCTATAGTCTAGTCTATAG